CCGTCTGCCTCCCTCACTCTCCGCACTGTTGCCTTTCTGTCAGCGGCAGCAGCACGGGGATAGAGAGGGGCAGGTGGATCCGGTGCTTTTAAGCCAGCTCCCCACAGGCACCGCCTCCCCCCTCCCCCCCTTGCTGCCTCTAATACAAGCAGGGGAATGCATGTAGTCGACAGGATTAACCAGGAAGACCAGGTGTATCGGTTAATCATGTCGTTGTCTACACGTTGACATGCACAGTTGTCACTGCATCTGACCTGACCCTTTTTTCCCATCTCCCTCCTCCTCAGACCGGACTAAAATGGGCAGGGCTGGAAAAAAAAGGGAAATAAAAACTGCACCCCTACGAATCTATAACCCGTACACGACTGGAGTAGGGTGTAGTCTGGGTAGGTCCCTGCTTCCGCTTCCACTCCCTGTATTGGTACCTACATGTTCTAGTGATGGGCAAATACAAACCGGTGGTAGGTGGGGGAGATGGAAGGCAATGGGGAAGTGCTTGGTGGATCCCAGCTGTTATTAGGGCCTTAGGAGACTGTTGTGACTGTTGCTGAGCAGGGGCCGGGTGCTTTAGCCCAGATCTGGTTGTGATCGGGTGGGTGACTCCGGATGAGCAAACACAAGGGCTGCTCAGGGCATGGGGCAGGCACATCAATCAAAGTCGATTAAACGGCTCAGCTTTGTCACTAGCACCACCGGAGAGAAGAGTCAGCGTCAGCTAAGGGACCTGGCAGGGAGCTTTGATTCACAGAGTGCGAGTTGCTGAGCGGGAAGTGTCTGTTCCGCAGAAAGGGTAAACCTGACTCAGGTGCGAGTTCCCTTGGTGGTGGTCATGAGCACCTCACTGCTCTCTGGGGCTGTTGCTTGTGACTCAGATAGCCATGAGTCATCCGCTGCTTTATCTTTCCTGATCTCGCTGTGGTTCCTGTGTCCACTTTCCCCAGTCAGGTGGGCCATTGCTGGGAACCCGCTGATGAGAGCTGGCTGCCTGTGCACACCGTCATTATACCCATGACTCAGCACAGCTTCCTCTCTCCCCCCTTCGTCTGTCTCTCCAGTGTGTTTCTCATGCTGGACGCTGCTTGGGCTGGTGTTTCCCTTCACGTGGTGGGCCACTGCAGACTCTGGTCTCCATACTGCTGTTCCCCTTTAGTGTCTTTCACTGCGCTTGCCTTCTTTTCTCCTATTGCACCAACCCAAGTCTGGTCCTGGGCCTCTGGTGTTACTCCCCCTTGGAATAATGTGAGTGACGTTATCTCGGTCGCTGGATGAATCAACAGGCTTCTCTAGTGTAAGCGCTGATGCTCTCAATGATAGTTCTGGGACTTTGTCCTGTATTCTAGCCACAGTTTGACTTCAAAGCATGGCAAAGTTCAGCCCCCTAAATTGCAGGATCAAACCTTCAGGCTCCTGTCACCTGCTGTTGGATCAGGCACATGGGTCTCTCTATTGCTGCATCTTGCACTGAAATTTAGTTTGCCTGAGTGATCTTATATGGCTTGGTCTTTGCCATTGTGAACATTGTTTTTCCACACACTAGTGAACAGGCCCGTGCGGCCTAAATGACTTTTATTCTAGTTTAAAAAATGTCAAAAGTAAAAAACCCCTAAAGGTAAAAGTCTCTACATATGAGAACGAGAGCGGGAGAGAGCGCGGTGTGTGACACCGCTGTAACATGCTGCTTGAGCCGGGCCTCACACGATGGCAGCTGCCCCTGCAGAAGGGCAGGTTCCTGAGCAGTATAAGGGTGCCAGCTGAAGGAGGGAGGTGAGGACTTGGCGGGCTAAGCTGCTGGTTGTCCAGACCCCATGGAATCAAAAGTTCAAATCCCACTAGCATCACCTCACTGTTATAGAGAGAAACGTGCTTCGCAAGGGCTCTCTACTCTAGCAGACATGACGAGATCTGTTGTTGGCTGTGAGCTGCAGCGAGACACGTTCAGAGCAGAACTCAGATGAAAACTTTTGAATGGAATACAGTTAATCCTTGGAGCAACTTACCTAGGACTGTGGAGGGGTTCCCATTATACTCAGAAGTCTTTAAACCAAGGCTGGGTGTCTTTTTCTAACATGCTGCTCCAGCTCAGCCTCTAGAACTGGGTTTGGTGCAGTAATCAAGGGAAGACATTTCTGGTCTTTCTGGTGTTGTGTAGGAGGAGGATCATTATGGTCCCTTCTGGCCTAGAAATCTATGATATGAAAGAAAGGATCAGTTGGATTTTCCATACAGGCACAGTAAGAAGAGGGAACCGCTGCTGCTCTGCAGAGAGCAGGGTTCATAGAATCCTGGGGTGGGAATCCTCAGGAGCCATCGAGTCCAGCCCCTGGCCCAAAGCAGGACCAACCCCAACTCTATCAGGGTTTGGTCAAGCCAGGACTTAAAAAACTCTAGGGATGGAGATTCCACCCCCTCCCTAGATAACCCATCCCAGTGCTTCACCACCTTCCTAGGGAAATAGTTTTTCCTAATATCTAACCTAGGATATTCCTAATATCCAATCATCCAGGACCTCCCTTGATCTCCACGAGTTTTCAAAGATAATGGCCAATGGCTCTGCAATCACATCAGCCAACTCCCTCAGCACCCTTGAATGCATTAGATCTAGCCCCATGGATTTGGGTATGTCCAGCTTTTCTAAATGGTGCTTAACCTGTTCTTTCCCCACTAAGGACTGCCCACCTCCTTCCATACTGTGCTGCCCGGTGCAGCAGTCTGGGAGGTGAACTCGTCTGTGAAGACAGAGGCACAAAACGCAGCTTTTCGCACATCATCCATCCCTGGGTTACCTCCCTCGTTCAGTAAGGGTCCTACACCTTCCCTGACCACCGTCTTATTGCTAACATGCATGTAGAAACCTTCATGAGAAACCACTGCCAGGGGAGCAAATATCCTGCTAGCGTAAATGGACCAAAGTCAGTGATGCTGCATCCATTGACACTAGCAGAAAATTTCACCCAGAAATTGCATCTCTTCTTCCTTTGGAATGTCTGTATCTTCACGTGTACAGTTTAGGGAAGAGTGAGTTAGGCCTGGCATGAATCTGGCCCTGTACGTTCCAAGGGTGACTTGGAACTGGCGTTATATCCGAGACACTAGAGGGTAAATGGTCTGCGCACCAGTAAAGCATTTGACATCCAGCCCCACGACACCTTATTCAATATATGAATTTAAATCGCTCTGACGCTGCTGGGCTTTGCCTGTGAATTGAGACCTGGCTAAAAGGTTGTAAACCAAAGTCAGTGTATTGAGCTGGTGGGGAAGTCTCTGTCAGGGAGATCGGGGTTGGAGCTGATTTAAATTAATGTCTCTAGTTATGGTCTTGAAGAGGGAGCAAACAGGTCACAGGATTCATCCTTGGGGCATATTGCAAACTCCAGCCAGAAGTGAAATCCCGTGATTCTCTTGTTACACCCGTTTTACCCCCTGTTAAAAGTTCTGCATAGAAGACATCGAAGTTATTTCTGATTTACACCAATGTAGTGGGTTGATCCTGCAAGTTCTGGCCCTGATCCAGCAAAAGCCCCAATCTGGGTTTACATTTGAGCACGTGTGATGCTGTTGGCTTTGTTGCAGCTAATCACCTGTTGTAAGTCAGTGGTCCCTTCAAGCATGAGCTCGCTTTTTGAATTTAAGTGCAATGCAAGATCTACCTCAAACCCAAATACTCTTGCCCCACCTCCTTTGTGCCACTTCTCTGAGATCCCGCCCCGGGTCGCTCCATTCTCCCTCCCTCCTCCATCCTCCCTTACTTTCACCAGGCAGGGGCAGCAGGTTGGGGCGCAGGCTGTGGTCTTGGGTGAAGAGATTCGGAATGTGAGAGGGGCTCTGAGCTGAGCTTGGGGCAGACAGTTGGGATGCCGGAGGGGGTTCTAGGAGCCGTCTCTGGGAGGGTGTTTGAATGCAGGGGTGCTTGGGGCTGGGGCAGGAGCCTGGGATGCAAGAGGGGGTTCATGACTGGGGTAGGGTTTCAGGATGTGGGCTCCGTCTGGGCACTGCTGACCTCAGGTGGCTCTTGGGTGGAGGTGCAGTGGGGCTAAGGCAGGCTCACCCCTTGCCCTGGCCCTGCACCATTCCTGAAAGCAGCCAGCAAACTGCATCCCAAGCCCTGTTGTCTCCCCCCCCCCCCTTGCTCTGTGGAGGTAGGATACAGGGTGAAAGAGGGGGCACTTTGACCCCTCTTCTCCCTTCCCTGTCCTGCACAGAAAGCAGGAGGCTGGGGGGCAGGGGGGAGAAAGAGAGGGAGGCTGCTCCAAGGCAAAGGCCAGGAGATGCGCAGCAGTAGGGACAAGGGGCAGCTGAAGTGCCGGCATTTGGCAGCCTCTTGGCCAAACCAGTGAGGATCACCTGCCAGAGGCTCCAAGATGTACCGGTCGATTCCGATTTGTGACCACTGCTCTGTTAAGTGTGGGCTTTGTTGGATCGGGGGCAGGATGCGTATTGCTTTTACTGAGCCCGAAGTAAGAGCAGGCTGGGCCAGAGGCTTGTAGAGCTCTGCGATCCAGGGACAGGTCAGCAGTCCACAAGTGCGTGAGGCGGGCAAGCACATTGTTTAGGGTGGCTGGGTAGATTTAGCTCCAGAGGGAGTAATGGGCTCAGCTTAACCAGTGGAAAGCTGAGTCTGATCCTCGGGGTGATCTCCTCGGGGTTACGTGTGCGGGACTGGGGGCTGTCTCTGCAAGGAATGATGCAGATTCCACTTTCCAACGGCTTTTAAAACCAGCCAGGATGCAGCACTTGCTGCAGTGAGCAAAGAACAGAACAGGCAACCCTCAGGTTATCCCTCCCCGGTCGTCCACTGAGCGATGTTACTTATTTCCCCAGCTTCTTCCTGGGCATGAACATTCCCAATTTCTGCCAGGAACACCAAGTGGGGACCCTGAATCTGGTTCCCTGCTGGGCACAGGTGCAGTGCCTGAGATGAATTTCTTTCCTGCATGTGGTGAGGCAGCGGCAGCTCTACATTCCCAGCCTTACAACCTTCTCCTTGTCTCTCCCCGGTGTAGGATGGAAGATCCTTGCAGGGCTGGCACTAGTTCTGGGGATGGCGTGGTACTCCATATCCCGGGAAGAAAGGTACTTACATCTGTGAGTGTATTTCTTAACGTTTCTGTAGGGGCAAGAGGCTTTTCTCCCACACCCCCTTCCTGATGGTTTGGGACTCAGTCTCTCTGACATTAAGACAAGGTGTGGGGAGAGGCTATGCCCTCCATCTCAGGAACAGTGCAGAGCTGGAGGCTGGGAGTTAAATGACTCTGCCTCTGGCTGGATAAGAGGGAGGCCCATCTAGTCTTGATCAGCTGGAGAAATGCACCTTGTCAGTTCATTCGACAGGATAAACACAATTCTAATGTAACAGCACAGCAGGCAAAGGACGCCAGTAAGTGCTGTCTTGTAATGGCAATGCGGGAGGGCCCAGCTTAAAATGATTTGGGGGGGATGAGTGCTTTCCTCCAAAGGGAAATTGGGATGATCCTGCAAAATCTGGGATTTAGATGAAGCATCTGAGCTTTGTCTTCAGTAAAGGGTAAATACCTGGCAACTTAAGTGAGGCCAAATCCTGGAGAAGTCAGTTTGCAGTTTTAAACAAGTGTTAGCGGGTCGAGGTAGACATCGGGGGAGCCTAGGTGTAGTAATGGGACTGAAGAATGTTTTTCCTAGCTGCCCACACACCCGAAGGGGTAAAGGAGAAGCTGAGAGGGCCAGGCAGCGTTCCTAGCTGAAGGTGTGAGGGTACGTCTAAACTACATCCCTTTATCGAAAAAGGGATGTAAATTAGACATATCGAAATTGTAAATGAAGCCAAGATTTGAATTTCCTGTGCTTCATTTGCATAATGGCAGCTGCAGCTTTTTTTCGAAAAGCCGCTTTTTGGGGGGGGGGGAACCCGCAGTCAAGACAGGGATCTTTAGACAGAAATGGGCCGTTTCAAAAGATCCTGTAACCCTCAAAAAAATGAAAAAAAAATCCGCGGCCACCATTATGTAAATGAAGTGCGGGAAATTCAAAACCTGGCTTCATTAACAATTTCGATACGTCTAATTTACTTCCCCTTTTCGATAAAGGGATGTAGTTTAGACGTTCCCTGAGTGATGTCTCTGGTCTCTGCATGCTGCTTTCTCCCTCTGGTGGGCTTGGGAGCCTGGTTTTCAGCATATGGCAGACACTAGAGAGAGAGGCGCTGTTACCTACTAGGCATATGATTAGTCTTGGATGCTTTGAGATTCCCTCAGGCTCTGCCTCCGCTCCTCTGGCCACTGAGATGGCCTGCAGTGGCACAGGCCTGGAGGTGACATGGGAGGCAAAGCCTTAGGTACCCTCTGGCAGTGACATTCTCCCTCTCGCGTGCCAGCCATGGGAACGAAAGCACGGCCGTTCGAGCATTCGAAATCACCCTCTCTGCTGTTTGCCTTGCAGTTTTCCTTTCCCCGTGCAAGATGACAGCATGCTGTGTCCCCCAGGCGAGGTGGAAAAGAAAGCCACGCTGCTCCTAGGAAAGTGAGTAGCCGTCCCTCGCGGGCCCTGCTCCTTTGCAGGGTGGCTCTTTGCTCCGGGAGGATGCGAGGTGTGTGGGAGGGCTGACACCGCAGGCTGGGGGGTGAGGGAAAGGGCAGAGAACAGACTGTGACGTCGGCTGAGGAAGCCAGTTCCGTTCAGGGTTGTACGTTCTCTGCCTAATCCCGCTCTGTGTCCCTTGCAGTTACACACGGGATCACCCGCTGTTTTTACAGCTCAACAATTACTTTTGGGTGAAGACCCCATCGCCGTATGAGCTGCCGTACGGGACTAAAGGAAGCGGTAAGCAAACCTGCTTTCTTTGCCCTGGGGCACCCGGCTCTGAGCTGGGTTCATCGCAGCGTGGCACACAATAAAGAAAATACACTCTTCTCCGGTCGCTCCTGCCACCTCCTGTTTCTTACTGCAGTGTAACCCGTGGGGCTTTTCTACGTCCCAGTGTGGCCTGGTGGCTCACGCCTGCACTTGCTTATGGCTTTTGTGGCTATTTCAAGACCATGTGGGAGTTAATGTCTCATCCGCTGACCCCCATTTCAGTCAGGAAATTACTCACAGACAGTCAGTCATTGGGGTGTTCACAAGCAATATACATCAGCCGTTTGTTTCCCACAGTGTGTGGTTGGTTGTCAGAGTCACATGGCATTGATTCTGCTCCTCACTGGATTATTGATCTTTTCTGTGGGCCAGTGCTCCCCCCCCCCCCCCCCCCCCCCAAGTTTTGGTTCCTCCAAGCCGTCATTAAAAACACAGATCCAGGCCTGGGTACTGTGGGACACCTCCAGATGCACCCTTTTGCGTGTGCGTCTGTATCACAGTAATTGCATTGAGGCCACCTTTTCCTAGTTGGCTTCTGAAAATATCCTGGGGGCTGTGCCGAAAGCCTTTCGAAAAGCAAGAGACAGCACGTCTGCTGTTCACCCCCCTTCGTTGGGCCAGAAACCCTCTCAAAGCAGGAACTGGCGTTGGTTTGACAGGATGTGTTGCAAACCGGTCCGTGCCGGCTATTCACCATCGTTCTCTAGATGCTTAGAAATTGATTGTGGCTGGTCCTGTTTCCCCTGCCAGCTCCAGAGACACCGTCCAGTTCTTGTTCAGTCGCTACAGACTTTCCTTCCTGCTGCCCTGTTGGTGCTGCCGGAGCCTTGGAGAGGATGCTTAGGCCTGGATGGGCTGCGGTGCCCATCCATTGGGAGAGAGCTGGGTGGCGCTCAGAGCCTCTTTGCCTCTCTCTAACTGCCCCCCACAGCCTGGCCGGTGGGCGCATGGCAAAGCAGATTGGTTTGGAATGTGGCCAGGCCCCACTGCCTTGACCAGAGGAAGGGTGAGGTGGGAGCCGTTGACGGTGGGAAAGGGGATGATCCCAGGCAAGCAGCCCCCCAAGAGAAGTCCCTGGTATGTGGGGCAGCCAGGGATCTGGTGCCTGATATGGGCATCTCCTTGCGTCTGGGGAGGACGGGCCTTGCTGACTCCCCCCTTGTATTTCTTTGCAGAAGACTCTCTCCTCCGGGTGCTAGCGATCACCAGCTACTCGGTGCCCCAGAGCCTCCAAAGGTAATTCCAGTGCATGGACTGTGCCCGCTGGCGTGGTCGGTGAATGGTCATCACAGAGTTGTGGAAGGAGACGGGTCTGGGAGTGCTGGAGACTCACGTCCACGCTGTACCCCCCAGCCTGCTGCAGGGCAGAGTGGCAGGGCTAGCTCCGCCTCTGCCCCATGGGCTGTCTGATACCAGCGTGAGGGCGCAGCCACACAGCCCACTGGGCCTGTGGCTTTGCTGCTGGGCCTCTTAGGACTGTCGGTGGGTGGTGTGATTTGGTGTTGGGATCCCCTTGATGGAGCGCTCAGTCACTTCCTGCCAATCAGTAGCCGCCAGCCTGCATTAGGAGCAGGGTTTCAGGAAAAACCTTGTGATTTTGCATCTTGATTCTGTCCTGGTGGGGAGAGAAACCTGTGATGCTACAAAGTCTTCATGGCAAAACCAGGGAGAGAGACCCTATAAAAACTGTATGAGCACACTAGCCTAGTGGTTAGCGCCCTCTGCTGGGATATGGGTGATGCAGGCTCAGTTCCCCTCTCTGCACCACTGAGAGTAGGAACTTCCATCCGGGTCTCCCATGGTGGTTCGGGAGGTCCCTTGCTCGATGTGGCTTTGACTGTCATTTCCACCCCCGCGCGGAGAAGCCTTCCCAGTGTTGCTGCATTAGAACCGATGGTTCCACGAGAAGTTTTAGTTTTGACTAATCAGCATTTTCCACCGAAAACACGTTATGTGGGAAAGCTCCCGCCCACCTCTCGGGGTGACACGTTTCACAGGCATAGGCCAGCTTAGGAGGTAGCGCCCACGTTGTCAAACTGCCTCCGGGGCTCTGAGGGGTGACTGCTGTCCTGGTCCATCACCACGGCTGCCCTTTCGGTCCTGATGCCGGGTGCGAGGTCAGGTGTCATTCAGATCTGCTTCTCGTACTTGATTCCAGGGCTTTGGATCTGATCCAGATTCTCTTCGCTTTCAGACAAATTTGCATTGAAACCTCTGACACTTATAGGAGAATCATAGAAGATTAGGGCTGGAAGAGACCTCAGGAGTCATCAAGTCCAACCCTCTGCCCAAAGCAGGACCAACCCCAACTGAATCATCCCAGCCAGGGCCTTAAAAACCTCCAGGGATGGAGATTCCACCACCTCCCTAGGGAACCCATTCCAGTGTTTCACCAGCTCCTAGGGAAATAGTTTTTCCTAATATCCAACCTAGACCTCCCCCACTGCAACTTGAGACCTTTGCTCCTTGCTCTGCCATCCATCACCACTGAGAACAGCCTCTCTCCATCCTCTTTGGAACCTCCCTTCAGGTAGTTTGAAGGCTGCTGTGAAATCCCCCCCCACTCTTCTCTTCTGCTGAGCCCTCTGCACATTGCCCCAAAAGCCAGGCTCCCGGCAGGGATGGACATTTCTGAGGTCTGGGCTAACATCTCCTGTCCTGTCGGTGCATTCCAAGAAAATGGACCCATTGGTGCTCAGGAACGGGGCTGCCAAGAGGGCAGGGTCTCACTAATGGCAGGTCCCCGCAGGGTGGGTGGTGGTGGTGGGAGTGTAAGCGGGGGAGGGAAGAGGGATCACTACTCTGGCACATGGAGGGCACAGGTTGTATCTCAGTGCTGCCGTTGCCCTCTTGTGCTTTCCTTCTTCTCCATTATCTGGGCTCAGGCAGTCGTGCAAACGTCCACCATCCATGCCCACCGCACCGCGCCGGAGGAGTCTCTTTCCTGCCACCCTCTCCTGCCATGCCGCCGTCAGCAGGTTCTCCGCATTCATCCTAAAGCACTGCTCATCCCCGCCCCCCGGGAGGACAGCTCAGCTGCTGGCTGCCATCAATCCAGTGGCCCAGAGATGCCAGGGGGTGTCGCTGTGGCCCAGGGCTGAGCTGTCCTCCCACCATTCGTAGTTCCTGGTGCAGAATCCTCCAGGCCTCTCACCTCTCTCCTTAGAACCAGCATCCACTGTTCTCCTTCGGGAACTTGCCAAAAGATGGACCTGCTTGGATGGACTTAGGCTGGTGTCTCGGGAGGATGGGGATCATGCTGTCCCTGATGTACACTGCAGGGAGAGGGCTTCTCCCCACTTGCACTGAGCCCTAACCCATGTCTCCCCACCGTCTGGCTGCAGGTCTGGCGCACCGCCAGCAGGTGGTACTGCTGGGGCCACCTCCCACCACCAGGCCTCATTTAACCCAGTGGTTCCCAAACTTTTTGGCATCACGCCCCCTTTTTGATTTTTGAGAAACCCTCACCCGCCCCCCCAAAAATAGCAGCAAAACTTGTTGAGGGGGGGAAAAAAGGAACTGATGGGAGATGAGAAACAAAAATAGCAAAACTTGGGGGAGGGAGATTGATGGGGGGGCTGGGTCACCTCACCCCCCCCTCCCCCGGAATTTCTTCACCCCCCAGTTTGGGAACCCATGGTTTAACCAAACCAACCATTTTAAAATCTAGTTCAAAAAACCCTGTATAGACACATTTTAAACTTGCCTTATATCAACTTAGTTGAAACCAGTTCCTTACCATATGCCCCCTGGAGGTGCCACCAACCCCGAGCGGTGCCCCTTTGCAAACACCCCCACACCAGTCCCTGCTATTCTGCTCCTTGCTCCCCTTAAGAGCCCAGGCTGCCAATGGCATGCGGCTGCTGGGCAGATTTCTGAGGGGCACAAATGGGCACAGGAGGCTTCTCTGGAAGAAACGGCTCAAACGTGCTGCCTCCGGCAGCCTCGGCACGACTGGAGTTCTGAGACTGCGCCCCATTCCTGGGCTGACGGATGTGCACCCCGGTCCCGGGCTGGCGGGGGTGCTCGTGCGCCCCACTCCCGGGCTGGCGGGGGTGCTCGTGCGCCCCACTCCCGGGCTGGCGGGGGTGCTCGTGCGCCCCACTCCCGGGCTGGCGGGGGTGCTCGTGCGCCCCACTCCCGGGCTGGCGGGGGTGCTCGTGCGCCCCACTCCCGGGCTGGCGGGGGTGCTCGTGCGCCCCACTCCCGGGCTGGCGGGGGTGCTCGTGCGCCCCACTCCCGGGCTGGCGGGGGTGCTCGTGCGCCCCACTCCCGGGCTGGCGGGGGTGCTCGTGCGCCCCACTCCCGGGCTGGCGGGGGTGCTCGTGCCCCTCACTCCCGGGCTGGCGGGTGTGCTCGTGCACCTCACTCCCGGGTTGGCAGGTGTGCTCGTGTGCCCCGTTCCCGGGCTGGCGGATGTGCTCCAGGACGTGACATCATGGTGCTGCAGCCCCAGCCAGCAGGCTGTTTGCTTGCACGAAAGTGAAGTCAGCTGCTGGAGTCTGCTGGGGACACATGGCAAAACAAGCCCTGGTTTTTGGCAGGCGAGTGAGGAGCTGCAGTATCTGTCAGCTCAGCTGTGGCTGGGGGAGTAGCTGCTGTGCCCAGGACCCTGACAGCCGAACGCTGTCTCTGGGGTCTGTTCGTTTGCCTGGACCATGCGAGGGGAGGTCAGACCCACAGGGTAAGTAACCCCTTTCCTGCAACCCCACAGCATTTGGGGCTCTGCTGTAGCAGAGCAAAGGAACAGGACCCAGCCCACCTAGAATCAGGCACAAGAACCAGATCTCGGCAGCCCAGTGAAACTCCAGTGCAGGGCTGAACGGTGTAAGCAGCCCCGTCCTCGTGTCGCTGTCATCTCCAGCCGCTGGTAAAGCTGCCGTCCCGAGGAGAGAAATAAACCAAAGCTGGGATCAAGCCGGGTTATGGAACATCCCGCAGAGGCCGTCGCTGCCCACTCAGTGGCCTGTCTGTGATGCAATAGGGCGCCGTGATCTGTGTGAAATGGGCTTGTGATTTCAGGTTGGTTCCTAGTGGGCGGAGGCCGGGCAAGTGTCTACGTCCGACAAATGGCCATGCTGGGAATTCACGCCTGCCTCTCCCCTGGAATGCAGGGGTGCCAACGCAGTCTTGCAGGGCCGCAGAGCTTAAGGGGTCTTGTCTGAGCTCCTGCACCACAAAGCCATAGAGCTGAAGGCAGAACTTCTCTCCTTGTGCGGCTAGAGGCTCAGTCCTAGAGGCACCAAGGACTTCAGGCTCATTTGGTTGCTTCTAAAAATGTCTAAAGCGCTAACTGGTTCAGCGCCGAGGGGAGAGAATCCCCCGGAGAGGAAAGGGACGCTGAGAGCACTCGGTTGAGCTTGTTTTCTTTTGCAGCATGAAGTGCCGGCGATGTGCCGTGGTGGGGAATGGACTCCGGCTCCTAAACAGCTCCTTGGGGGAAGCAATCAACAAGTACGACGTGGTGATCAGGTAAGGCGCTTCCTCCCCCATGGACTCGTCTGGACACGGCAGCGTGTGGGGACAGCCGGGATGCGCACGCAGGGATCCACTGGGACGTCGACAAGGGAAGGGAAAGGGAATGCGTTAACGTCGTGCCGAGAGACCAGAACCAATGCGGCGCATGAGCCTTGTAGCTTCCCCTTTTCTTTTGGTGTAGCTTTGGGGGGCGTGAGAGCGGGCAGGGCTGGAGCTGGCCAAGCCATTTTGCCATGTGACTGGATTCTCAACCAGAATCCACTTTTTTCAGAATTGCTGGACACCTGACATTTCTCAGATGCTCATCTCCTTTTCACATTTCTCAGATGTGGCTTCCAGCAGCTGGCCTGGGAGCCTGAGCGCTCTGGGCCCTGTGGCCCTGGGGGCTGTTCTTTGAGTTGCAGACTCTACAAATCTGGGGTCCCTGGCCAGCTCAGATGGGGTAGCCTGTTCCAGGCCATCAGCTTGACAGCAGTGACCTTGTGAGGCCCCAGGAATCTGGGGTCCCTGGGACAACGCACGCAGTGGGGAAGCCCTGGAGATGTGGACCCTGGAAGTCGGGCAGAGCAGCCCGATGGCAGGACCATCCACTAGCCCACGTGGCGGCGGGCAGGGAAGCCAACTGCTGTGCTTTCCTGAGAGCTGGAGTTGCCAGCAACATGGCAAAGTAGAAAGAGGTGGCAACCGGGGCAGTGACCAGGAGATGGCTGAGTTCAGGAGCCTGACAAAAAGAAGAAGGGAGGCAGCTGGACTTCAGCAAAGCAGGCTTTGACTCCCTCAGGGGACTGCAGGGCAGGATTCCCTGGGAGGCTAATATGAGGGGGAAGGGGTCCAGGAGCGCTGGCTGTACTTTAAAAAAGCCTGAGCAAGAGGGCAGGAACAAACCAGCCCGATGTGCCAAAAGAATAGCCCCTCGGGCAGGTGACCTGCTTGGCTTCCCAGAGAAAGCTTCGGTGAGCGTAAAGGGGATGTGCATGGGACAGGTTGTGAGGAGAGCAGGACGTGGGTGAACCCTCCCCTCCCCCCCGCCTCATCTCGTGCTGCTTCTCCCCCCAGGTTGAACAACGCGCCAGTTCACAGGTACGAGGCAGACGTGGGCTCCAAGACCACCATGCGCCTGTTCTACCCAGAGTCCGCGCACTTCGACCCCAAACGGGAAAACAACCCGGATACGCTGCTGGTGCTGGTGCCATTCAAACCCATGGATTTCCTCTGGCTGGAGACGATCCTCAACGACAAGAAGCGAGTAAGTGCCGCAGGGAGAGCAACGGGCTGCAGCTCTGCCCTGTGTCCCCATCGCTGCCAACCCCGCCACGCCAGGCCTGCTGCCCTGGTGGGGAAAATGCAGCCCTGACCCCCCTGTTGTCCTTTTCCAGGTGCACAAGGGGTTCTGGAAGCAGCCCCCTTTAATCTGGGATGCCAATCCCGAGCAAGTTCGAATTCTGAACCCTTATTTTATGGAAATAACTGCTGCTAAACTGCTTAATCTTCCCATGAAGCAGCTGCGGAAGGTTAAACAGGTAAGGGAGCCAGTGGGCTGGGATGGGGGAGAGCGGGACCGACTTGTTGTGCCCTGGATCTAAATGAGAGGGCAGCCCCAGCTGGAACTCGCTAAGGCCGTGTGGTGCACTGCCCCCGTCTTGCCCCCTTGATCTACTGAGTAGCCCAGGGCTGGTCAACGTGGCTTTGAATATTCTGCAAGGCAGAAAGGGACCCAGACGAAAGCCCCTTGGGCGATTCTTATGGCGCTTTGTAGCTGAAATGCTAGGTGATCCATGCACCCCAAGGGGAGAGAAACTGGCAATCCGCTCGCCTGTTTCCCGGCATCCTGGAGGTTCTATTCACACGGCTCTGTTGGGGGAAGGCTGGGAAGCGGTTGTAGCGGGAGTCTGGCTCAGAGAAGCTGCTCTTTGGGAGGGAGAAACTAGCAAGTGGTTTCTGTTCCAGGAGAAGGATCTTTGTGCATGAATCCTTCTGTTGTTTGTTTGGCCTCTTTCTCTGTCTGTCCGCGCATCGGGTTTTGAGTTACCGATTTCTTCTGTCGCCACACGCAGAGAAACCGGCTGTAGGACTTTCTCCGTGTTCTCAGAAATGGATTTCCACACAAGAGTCTCCATTCTCCTCAGCGTTTCATCCAGTGTGTGCTATTTTGTGAGGGGAGGGTACAGTGCCCTGGGACTCACCCCCCTAGGTTCCATCCTGGGGCTTTGGATCAGCCAAAGAAGAGAATTTGTCCCAGATTCAGAGTGAGCCCAGTGCATGCTGGGACAGGACTCCAGGTGTTGTCTGGATACCCCTGCGGTAAAGCTTTACCTAAACTATCCATTCTCAGCTCCTTGATCTGTGCAGGTCCCAATGACCCGGTACAGTTAGGAGGGCTTTCCCCATCGGGAGAGTTTTCAAGAAGCTACCTGAAAAATCCATCCGTCTCTTGGCGTTCGTGACCAACATCCCATCTCTTGTCCAGTCGAGAAGTTTTGTACCCCATAAGGCCACTGGGGATAGATGCAGGACAAAACTGAGATCCCATTTTGTAATGGCAACAGCCCTACAGCTAGAAGCTGCCCTTTCTAAGGGGGGAGCCTCCATTCTAAGTGACACGCAGGTGGTGAACTCCATCCAGGTACCACAAGGCACAGTGACCCTAGACCCTGACGCACGCCAACACAGTGATGTGGCTGGTGAGGAGCAAAGCAAATAGGTTCTGGAGTCAGGCAATAGTGAGCCACATAGCTGCTAGAATTGGAGGAAATGTTTGGACTTAACTTTTTTCACCCAAAAATGCAAATGGAAGCATTTTCCGAAAGGGTCCGTTTTTCTGCATTGGTTCAGTGGGGGAGGAGGCACCTTAAAAATCCACAGAAATCAAAGTGTTTCATTGTGTCATTTTCTTACCAAAATGTTTTGATTTTTATTTGAGTTAGAAACAGTTTTTTTCCTTTGAAATTTCCTTGAATTTTTTTAAAAAACACCCTCCAAGTTGAAATGGATCATTTTCCTTTGGCCCCGCGCTGTTTTTAGTGGGTTTTTTAGAATTACTGGTGAACTGAAACATGCTCTGTTTGTGCAGCTCTAATGATCATGCATGCTGAGCCTCTGTCTTAGACACGGGGCCTGTCCCCAAAGAGAGAAGGGGGAGAGAACCGCCCGGAACCGAACCCCGCCTGTATGGTTTTGATCACCCCGAGCCCTTCCCTCTCTCTTTCCTCTCTCCCCCTCTAGAAACCGACAACGGGATTATTAGCCATCACCTTGGCGTTGCACTTCTGTGACCTGGTACATATTGCAGGCTTCGGCTACCCCGATTCTGCTAATAAGAAACAGACAATACACTACTATGAGCAAATCACCCTGAAGTCCATGGTTGTAAGTGACCGCGCTTTGCTGTAGCTTTCCCGTGCAAATCTTGGGGCTTCGCCAGAGGGAGCAGCACTAGGTGGTCTGGATTCGTTGTGTAATAGAACTAGGGGTTATACTGCCCGGCTGTATGCTGTGGGCACTTGCCCATGGTCATAGCCATGAATAGCCTGGATGCACTCCACGCAGCAGAGAGCAGCGGTGCCCATGACAGTGGTGGGCGGGAAAAACTCTCCCTCCCATTCCTTTGGAGTGTTCCCCAGCGCAAGCACAGGGCTACTTCCAGGTAGTAACCCGGTCGGTCCAGCCGCGGCAAGCCAGGGTCAGGGTGCCCAGGTGTGAGGCCCTGTGCAGACCGCAGAACACGGGCGGGAGGGTGTCCTAGCATCATAGACACATGGGACTGGAGGATCCCCTGCTCTCACAGCAAGACTAAGTATTATCTAGACCAGGGATGGGGAACCTAAAGCCCAGGAGCTGGATGCAGCCCCCAGCTTGCCTGGATCTGGCCCCTGAGGCTCAGGATTCCCCCGCCCCCCCCAAGCATTGGGGAGCCTGTGCTGGTACTCCAGACCCCTGCCCCCCCACTGCAGGGCTGCAGCACCCAAAATCTCCTAGCCTGGGCTCCCCCAGGCTCTGGTGTGCGAGGGGAACGTGGGGAGAGTCTTTCTCCTTCTCAGCCAGGGGCCATGTCAGCGAGGTTTGGTTGTTTTTGGGGAGCCAGGGGGGTTGCTTCTCATCTGTGTGCAGCCCCCGACTGATTTTTCTGTGAGTCAGTGGCCCCTGATCCAGAAAAGGTCCCCCACCCTTGATCTAGGCCGTCCCGGCAGCGTTCATCTAAACAGCGATGGAGACTCCAGGGCAGTTACTCCAGGGCTTAACCACCTTCGCGCGGGACCCAAAGTTGGGCCCCCAGAATGTTTCAAAGGGTCACGTAGCAGCTCCTGACCTGACCTCCTGCCTGGGCTCACCTTCCTGCTCCAGGAACTGCCACCCCTGGAACCCCAGAGCCACTCAGCTTTGTCCCAGCTGCCGGGATGACAGAAATCTGAGGGCGTGTCTCCGAGGTGCTGGAAGTAGGGCTGCCGGGGGCTGCCAGGCTGCCTGGCGTGGAGCGGTTTCCATAGGACACAAGAGGTAGTTTGGTTCAGTGGCTCTCAGCCCCCCATTGTACATGTTGTTCTGCCCCCCCGGTGGTTCTGCAACATCATGAGCCGGCTCACCTCCCGTTAGCAATCGCCCTGTTCGCACGTTCCCTGGGTCTGGCCTAACGAGCTCCCTTTTGTCTGTCTCACAGGCTTCCGAGCACAATATCTCCCAAGAGACACAAGCAATAAAAAAGATGCTTGATTTAGGCATCATCAAGAACCTGACGTACTTCTGATGGGACACGGACTGGAACTTCCCCACCGTTGCCTTGGCGTCTGCCGTGGCTGCCGATATTCACTGGCCCCGAGATGCCACTGCTTTGCCACAGGGCCCCAATGGGGCTCCGTGCTCGTGGCGGGGCTGACTGCTGGGGACAGCGCTGGCCCTGGAGGAGGCAGGCGGGGGAGAGGGCTGCAGAGTCCCCTCCACCCAGGCTGACGTGGCGTTTGCCTGTATCGTGTCAACTCGGAAGCAGAGCACTGAAATCCATGCCCTTATGTTGTGGCTGGATCCTTTTGCGGCCAAGCTAGCGCTGACTTGCCGGCCGTTCAGGCAGCGCAGTGGGGGCAACCCTTGTGGCTTGCTGTTGCACCCATCTCTGCCCCTCCCGCTCCATGGGGGGCACTGGGGCCGTGTGCCACACTGTTGGACTGAACCTGTGCAGCTGAAGGACTGTCGACTTCTCGCCCGTTTGGTTGGTTCTCTGAGACTGAAGGGGGGTCTCTTGTGGTGGTGCGAGCCAGCTCTGGGGGGTGCAGCACATGGGAATGCTGCTGAAGGTGGAAGCCTTTTAAAAATGTATTTTGGGGGGAGGGCACTCTGCGGTATTATGCTGGTGGATTTTTACACTGGCCTCCCCCAAGCTGCTTCCCAGCAGGCATGGGGAGCTAGCGAGCCAAGTGGGACCAGGCGGCAGAGTGGAGGGAATGTTAAATTATTCTTCGCTGACAGAGCAGAGATGCCTCCCCCTACCTCAGGCAGTGAGGAGGAGTGTGAATCCGTTCTGGAGGACGACGGCCCCTCAGGGAGGGCCTAGCGTGGGGAGCTAAGAGTTTGGGCTGGAGGCAGAACCAGGCTGCTTCAGTGCCACCTCAGCCGGGGGGTGAGATCGGTCTGGGAACGGCCTCCCCTCGGTCGCACGTTCTGACCCGAAGTAGGAATAAATAGGGGTTTGTCTTCCTTTTTTAAAACTGTGGATCAACTTCGTCTCCCCCTCGATGGCAGGGGTGTTTCCTGGAGGGGAGGAAGGGGCAAAGGCGGCAGATACCACCTTGGGTGGCAGAGGAACGCCCCTCTGGGGAGGCTGGTCCCCAGTCCTGTCCCTTCTGCCCAAGCCCCCCATTCCAGCCGCTCCCTCCCTCACTGGAGCCCCGTCCGCCCCCTCCAACTGCTGCTAGAGGAGCCAGAGCCAAACTGTCCTGACCCCGGGGTTGCCAGCCCGCGTAAGCTCCTGCCACCAGCCTGAGCTGAGCCGGGAAGGAGGGAGCCCCGGCCACGAGGTGGAGTGTGGGGTCGGGCGCGGCGTTGGCCTCCCTGGCCTATTACGCCCGCTGCCCGGGGTACCTCACAGGTTGCCAAGCTGCTCCTGCTCCCAGCCAACGTTTCTGGGCCCCAAACTGGCAGGCTCCGACGAGAGGCCAGTCCATGGCCAGCCCCAGCTGCCTTCTCAGCTGAGATCGCGCTGGGCCCCTGAGGTGGGGCTGGGCCATGCCTGCTGCTAACACCCGGCTCTCAGAGAGGGAGAAGGGGAGGTTCTTCTTGGTACTGATCCCGGGGGCTCGGCCTGGGAGGAGGGGCGGGGGGCAAGCAGAATCTCCCGAGCAGGCAGGGCTCGGGCTCAATGCTAGTTAATTTAACGAACTAATTTAAAGGCTTGTTCATCTGAGCAGTGCTGGTGTCCATTGCACAGCGAGTGTGACGCGAATGGCCGTGTGGGGCGGGTAAGGAGCCGTGCTTCTCCGGGGGGGGGGGGGGGGGCGTGTGGGCCTC